CCAAACCATCTCCTGTGTCCCCATCAGGATGAGGACAAAGGTTGGAGAGTTCATCCAAACCACCTCCAACAAGACCCAGGGAAGAGCCATGGGAGACAATGGTCCCATCAGGATGAAGACCAAGGTTGGAGAGATCATCCAAACCATCTCCTGTCCCCCCATCAGGACCAAGGTTGGAAAGATCACCCAAACCATCTCCTGTGTCCCCATCAGGACAAGGACCAAGGCTGGAGGGATGACCCAAACCACTTCCTATGTCCCCATCAGGATCAAGGTTGGAGAGATCTCCCAAACCACCTCCAACAACAAGACCCAGGCCAGAACCACCAGGGATGGAAATTTTAGGGCCAACCTACAGGGCCGATCCCAACACCGCCCCCGGATCAGGATTTACCGGGCGTCTGGAAGTTGAGGGCCACGAGTTGGCTCCCGCAGATCCACATGGGCAGTGGGTCGTAGTTGGAGGAGTCCAGGCGCTGTCCCTTGGGATAGATCCGGCTCAGCTGGCGCCGGTTGTACTGCAGGAATTTCTTGCCCTTGCTGCGGTTGGCGTATTTCTCCGCCTTGGTCTCCGGGAAGGACGACATGTCCCGGTAACACGCCTTGTCCGTGCCGATCTCTGGAAGAGCCGAGGGGACCATCGGCGGAGGACGTCGGTTCCACCGCCCGCCYCGGSCCSCSCYCATCCCSTYCCACATCCCGCTTTTCCGGCTCTTACTGTCCTCGTCGAACGGCACCGGGCGGCAGTAGACGACCAGCTCCGAGAGCTCCAGCGCGATCTTCTTCCGCCGCTCCATGATCTTCCCCTCCTGCATCTGCACGGGGAGAACGGGGCAAGGGTTCTTCCAGTGCCTTCCAGTTGGACCCAGTTGCTCCCAGTGTGTCCCAGGTTGGCTCCCAGCAAGGGCCCAGGAGCTCCGAGTAACCCCCAGTAAGGTTCTACTTCACACCCGCTGTAATCCCAGTCTATCCCAGTACAATCCCAGTGTGATCCTAGTTACTCCCACTGTGATCCCAGCTACTCCCAGTATGGTTCCAGTCACTCCCACTATAA